AAAAAAAGATCGAGTTGTGCTTAAGGAATCAAACAATTGCTCAGGAGGACGTAATTAAAATCCAGGAGCTAAGTATATTTAGCTCTGCTGTCAGCCTGATTTATGCCGCGTGTGTTTGACTTTTTCATGTTTAATTAAAGGCCCTTGCACGAAAGGCTGCGCGGATCTCGCRGCTCCGCTTTGCAAGCGCCGGGGCCGAGTGTTTTACGAGCGAGGTGCTCGCGGAGGCATTGGAAGCCAAAACAAAGCCGAAGGAAGGAGGAGGAGCGCGGTATCGCTGCGGGAGGAGGAGGAGGAGAGGGAGGAAGGCTTGGCCTGGGCCGCTCGTGCTCGCCGGGTGCAGCCTGCGCAATGGGAGCTGGCTCGGGACAGGTCTCTGATGTTGGGTGTCTCCCGTGCCCCGGCATGGCATGGTGATGTCTGCAAAAAAATGAGCATTTTGCATTCTGGATTTAGCCCTTGGTGCCRTTCCTGATGGGATATTTTGCATTTTGCATTGAGCCCTTGGTGCCATTCCTGACGGGATATTTTGCATTTTGCATTTAGCCCTTGGTGCCGTTCCTGACGGGATATTTTGCATTTTGCATTTAGCCCTTGGTGCCGTTCCTGATGGGATATTTTGCATTTAGCCCTTGGTGCCATTCCTGACGGGATACTTTGCATTTTGGATTTCACCCTTGGTGCCGTTGCTGCAGACCCCTTAGTGTCCCTTGGCCTCCCCGCTGGGCCTCGCACAAGGTGAAGGATGGACGGGATCTCCATCCCGTCTCCAGCCCGGTACATCGGAGGAAACCCTCATTGGAGACCAGCGGGCAGAAAAGCAAAATCCAGCCGCTCCAAAAGGGAAAAATAAAGAGCAAACAGTGGATTTCGCACCCGGTGCCAGCCCAGGATGTCGCTGCCGTCTCCGTGTGCCTCCGCGACGGGGCTCATTAGCCGCTGTCTCAAAGCGCTCGGAGCTGTGTAAACATCCCGCCGGCTCGGCGCTTTTTCCACCCTCCGGCATTCCCGAGGGAGCACCGGCTCCTTTTCCAGCCCGCGGCGGAAAAATTTGGGGCGGCAAACCCGAAGTTTCAAGCATTTCTACATTTCCAAATCAAACATAAGAGTAGATGCACTAAAAACCGTATTTCCCTGCTTTGCTCAAGCCTGCATCTGCTTCTGTGCGAGATCCTGCAGCAGGGCTTGGCATTCCCAAGACACGGAGGTTTCTGCACTCGGAGCATCGTGACCGTGTCCTAACCAGAGTATTAAGTGTCCCTGCGGRCAGTGGAGTCAAAGGGACATTTCTYGGATGTGATTTGCCTCCTCTTGCCATGGACAATTTAAATGTTGCCCAGGGCACCTCCCAGGTCCTTGCAGCTCCATCCATGTAGAGCTCAACAGGCTCCTGTTCCTCCAGGGATGCTGCTGCTGCCTCCATGGGCACTTGGTTCCTTGCTTGCATCCGGGGGCTCTTATTCCCAGTGGTCCCTAACCTTCTTCTGCAGTGCACAGGTGTCCCACAGGGTGGAATCGGCTGGAGGAGATGGGGAAGGTGGCCAGAGAGGTGGCCCTTCACAGCCAAGGCTCCTTGGAGGTCCCATCCATAACAGCTGGTGCTCATAAAGCCCTGTCTCAGCATTCCCAAGCCGCATCCACAAGGATGTCACCAGCTTGTGACCCTCTTGGGCAGGACCCCGAAGCTCTTGGCCTCAAGGACCTTTGGCAGAGGAGGAGCCGCTCTTGCCCTTTCCTGGAGCTGCAGGCACGCGCTTGGCACACGCCGGAGACCTCCAGGTTGGGAGGCGCGTTCCCGGGAGCAAGCCGGGAACCCCGCCGAGGTTTATGTGGCCCCTGGATTTCCATAGTAACCCAGCACCTCCACTCCCCGGTATATTTTAGCCAACGATGACATGTTCCTATCCGCACGCCTCCTTATATAGCCCTCTGGGACACTGTGGATTTTCTCCCGCCATCCTCCTCTGGATGGCTGGAGCCCTTCCAGCAAAGCGGAATTCTCTTGGAAAAGGCCGGCCCCCGGCGCTCCGAGCACTTTGTTTTCTTTCTTCGGTATCTCAGGTCCAGCAAACTCCGCTGGCTCCAAGGATTGGGATCGGTGGGCAGCGTGCCGGGGTGCCCAGGACCCCCGGCTCCTCCCCAGGGACAGGGCTCCCCAAGTCCCCACCACATATAGGGGCGATGGAGGGGGTTTCTCACAACATCTCAAGGTGCAGCCCGCAGCACCCGGATCCCTCCGAGCCTTTCCCGCTTGGAGCTGTGGACGTGCTCCAAGGAACCGCCAAGCCACTCCAGTGCCCAAATCTTCCCAGCGACACCCCATTTCCTGGCATTGGAGCACCCCAGGGTGCTGGGAGAGCCGCGGTTATTTGGGGTGATTTTTACCCTTCCGCTGTCAGAGGCTCCATGATCMAGGAGTGCATCCCACGTGCCGGGCTCCTGCACGCAGGGATGCAGCGCTGGGATATGGATGGGAAGGGGACGGCGGATGCCGGCCCCATGGATGGGTCTCGGCATTGGGACYGCGATGTTTCACTGCCCTCTAAAGKGGGGAATCAAAGGGAAAAGTCTGCCCAGCTGGATTTTCCCTTGGGAATTCCAGGCCTGCAGCAAGATCCGTGTGTGTGTGTGTGGCTGCAGGACGCGTCGATCCGCACATTCCCGCCTTCTCCTGGGGCTGCGGGTGCTGCTGGAGAGGTCAAAGCAGCTCCAGCTCTCCCAGCATCCAGGGGCTGCCCCCAAAGCCCTGCAAAACAACCCACGAAATGGGAAAACAGGGATGTGCTCCATGCCTCGGCAAGAGTTCTGGGAGGGAAAAGGGGTCCGGAAAGAATCGTGGGCCCAGCCTGTCCCTACCCCAAYGCCATCAGTTGCTGCTTTACAGCCCTTAAATCCATCTCGACGCTTCCAGGAAGGTTCCTTCACTGAGGAACACGCTGGGAACGGCCGCTGTGCTCGGTGACGAAGCAGGTCCCAGGCTAAAAATACGCTCTGCATCTTGCAGCCGTGGTTAGAAAACCTCCGCCGCCAAACGCGCTGCTCGCCCTTCCTGGGACACAGGGCATGGCATGGGATGGGATGGTGGTGCCTCCATGGCGGGTGTGACATCTTCAGGATGTGGCTCTGCACGCCCCAAGCTCTCCATCACTGTGTTGCACGTGGCAGATGTGACRTTGTCCAGGGTTTTCCACGTGCCGGGGAGCTGGAAGGATGAGTTGGCCTTGGAAAACTTGATGAAACCCTCCGGRCTGAGCACCTGAGATGTTGGAAATTGAGATGGAGGGATGAGAAAAGAGTAAGCAGCAGAAACCTGCTGGGAGATGGGAGACCATGAGGAGGTTGGTGACCTGAGAGACATCATGAGGAGCTGAGTGACCAGAGAGACCTCATGGGGGGCTGGGTGGCCACGGGAAGCTGGGTGACCAGGGGGACATCATGGGCAGCCCTTGGGCAGATGGTCACCTTTCCATCCTGCAGGATTACTCCTGCGTACCTCAAAACATCTTCGGGACCAGAACCTGGACCTGAAGGTTCAGGAGGTTCAGGACCTCCATGATCTGCTGATTTCCACCCAAAATCTCAAACCTCAGGGGCCCATCCCCTGAATCGACACACTATCCATACAAGAACCTCTCTGGGGTACATCAGGAGCCATTGCAAGGTCACAAAGCTTTCCAGGAAGACAAACTAAATGGGGCGAAAATGGTGCCATTAATGAATTTTCGCGTAGGGCTGAAGGAAATGGATGTCTCCTGGCGCCTGCTCTTTGCACCGCTGGTGCAAAGTGCCTTTCTGCCTCGTACTTGTTTTCCCCRCGCGTGCTAATCTTGGAGCTCGGCCAGGAACACGTCCTGGAAAGCGCGCACGACTCCGTCTCGCTGCAAGTCACCGAGGATGGGAACTCAAAGCGATTTTAGAAGCAAACTAAAAAGCCCAAGAACATTCCCATGTTCTAAAAAAAAAAAGCTAAACCCAGGCTTTTGAAGTCCCACAGTGGTCCCCATTAGCTCACTCTAATGGGAGGAGATGTGCTTGCTGGGGGAACGACGAGGAGATAAGTCTAAAAGGGTTATTTAACTTCAGATGTCAGGGAGCGAGGGGGAGAAAAAAAAATCAATAAAAAGCTACTAAAAACATCTCTCGCCTTCCAGAATAGCTACTATAAAGAGCCCCTCATCGCCCGGGCGGTTTTGCATTTCAAATCAGGCGCTGCGTGCATAAATCCATCACCGGCCTTGGAGGAGGCTGGTGGTGAACAAGATAAATGGGAAGCAGCTCGGGGAGCTGCAGGTTGTGGCAGCAGAAGGGTGAGTGCTTGGGAATGAGTGGGGCAGGTCCATTGCTGGTGATCCGGACGCCCCGTTCGCGCCGTCCCTCCCAGCAGCTCCAGGGCAGGAGGAGGCGTTGGAGGGTTGCAGCTCCACGTGGTGGGTGCAAGCTCTGCAGCAGCCCCTGCAAGCAAGCGTACGTAGGATTCTGCAGCCAGCTTGGGCAGGAGGATTGTCCATGGCCGTGCAGGCTGTCCCGGTGCCACCAGGCAGCCCGGAGCACAGGGCAAGCGTGGGTTGACCCGATGGCTCTTCCTCCCATTCTGATCCCATTGCCTCATATCTCATTCCCTGTAGATTAACCATAGAATCATAGAATGCTTAAGGTTGGAAGGGACCTCAGAGGTCATCTAGTCCAACCCACCTAAGGGTCACCTAAAGCTCATGGCACGGGCTGAATCCAAGCGGGTTTTAAAGATCTCCAAAGAAGGAGACTCCACAACCTCCCTGGGCAGCCTGTTCCCGGCCACATCATTCCAGCCTTGGCCTCTCTTATCCACCCAACAAGGCTGCTTGCAGGAAAGCGGCACCCTCAGCACTAAATCACCCTACACGCTGTCTTCACTCTTGTGGCCTCGTGCTTCATTTTCCCATTTATTTTCCTATTGTGACTATGGGGAAACCAGTGGCTTTTGGGGCGTCATGGGGCAGTGCGGGTGCCGGCTCTCAGGCTCTGTACTCGAAAAAGCTGTCCCGGATTTCCCTCTCCTGGGCGGTGACCCTCTTCCCGGAGGGGAAGGTCTGGTAGGTGCGCAGGTTCTCCGGGGACACGCGGAAGAGATGCCACCGGGTCTTCCAGCTCAGGGGTGGCCTGGGGAGGAAGAGAGCAGGAAAACACGGTTACAGGGCAGGGGGAAATGGAGAGACCCATCGGCTCTCCTCAGCTCTTGCCAGACCCCATCYGCAGGGCTGTGTCCCATCTGGGGCTTCCTGGGGTGGGAATGACGTGGATATGTTGGAGCAAGCCCAAGTGAAGTCCAAGCAAGCGTAGATGACAGAGATGGGTTGTAGCACAGGATGGCCGGGGAGATTTGAGTTTGTTCAGCCCAGAAGAGAAGACAAAGTGGGTTTTATTACTCCCACCAACAACCCAGGAGCCCAAGGATGCAGAGATGCCAGCGTTGGGTAGGGGAATATSGAGAGGATGGTGACAGACCCTGCTGAGAGGTGCATGGTGACAGGACGAGAGGCCATGACCCAACCAACAACCGGCCTAGAAGACCCCAYTGCCCCAAAGCGCCTGTTGGGAGAGCACAAGGAGAGGGACGTGAGCGTCCATCCACCCGTGCTCGTGGACAACCGGGGGCTCGCCGGCCCCCTGATGGAACCAAAGGGCTGTTTCTGGGTGTAAATACATCGTTTTTTTCCCTGTTGAGCTGAACGAAGGCAGCACTAGAGGGCACCCATGCATTTCTGCTGGCCACAGCACCCAGCTTCCTCCYGGCAGCAGCAGCTCTGTGCAAAGCCCTGGACCAGGGGTGTCTCCAGACAAGTTTAATGAGGATGCCCAAACTCGAGCAGCGGGCTGAGCTCCTTTCCACCGCCACCGTGTTCCCTTTCTYCCCTGCTGGAAGCCTCAGCTCCTTCCTCCAGCCGTGGCCAAGGTACCCGCTGGGCTTGCAACCTCCAAAGCAATATCCAAACGTTTAAGCCCTGTTTCAGGAGCGCAGAGTTTTGCTCTCTCGCCCGTGGTGCTCACAAACCAGCAACGTGGATTTGGGGAGCTTCAGAGCATTTCCGTGCACCATCCAGCCCCTGCACTGGTGCCCAAGCTGCGATGTCCCTACACACCACAGCCTATTTGCACAGGGCCTTATAGCGCAACCGGGTATAGGTTGTCTGCTCTACACTCTTTTTACCAAAAAAAACTGCACTGGATTTGCCCAAATAACCCCAGTTTTGGCCCTCTGTGCCGCTGCCCAAAGGGCTGGATGGGAGGGCAGTGCTTGGCACTCACAGGTCCAGCGGGTGAGGGTATCGCTCCTTCTCCTTTGGGGGCAACACGAAGTAGGGAACGGCATGAAGAGCCCCGGTCTTGTCCTGGTAGAACTTGCGGTGCTGCTGGGCCAACTAGAAGCAACRAAGAACAAAATATTTAGGGTTTCGTGCATCAAAGCGTGAAGACACCGGTGCAAGCAGTGGTGCATCAACCCATTTGTCTCCTGCTCTTCCAGAGCCTGGCTTGTGGTGGGATTTCACGCATAGTGAAGGAGCTCCAGGAGCAAGTGTTCTCCAAGGTGTCCCTGCTGTTGGAAGCCACAGTGGGAAGCAGCACCCATGATTAGCTTCTTGATATCCATGCTCGTCTTGTTAATATCCATGCTCATCTCCTGGATCCAGCAGTTTTGCGGCTCTGCAGGCAGCATCCATTGCATCTGGGATGCTCCTGTCCCCTCCAGGCTTGRGCCAGTCCCCAGGTCTATCCCTGGTGCAATCCCCATGTACATGCATGGGTTTTGGCTCCACGTGCCCCTGCTGTCACCCGGTGGCCCCTCACCTGGTAGAAGGTCCTCAGCTCCTCCCCACGGCTGAGGCTGGGGTGGAAAGGCAGTGGGATGTGCGGGTGCCGGGGACGGCCCTGCGAGCGGCACGCTGGGCGGCCAGGCAGGAGATGGTGGCTCTGCTTGGGAATGGCGCGCTGGGAACCTCGGAGGTGTCTCATGGCCGTGTCCCTTGAGGTGTCCCCGGTGGGAAACATGATGTTCGGGACAAGCCCTGGGAACCTGCAGGAGAAAGCAGRAGCTCAATCCTCCGCTCAGGTCTGGACAGAGCCAGAACGTGTCCTCTGCCCCAACCCACTCGTGTCTATCWGTACCCACCTTGGCCATCCATCGCATCCCATGAGTTGTGCATTGGAGCATCCACTTGTCACCAGCATCATCCTCGGCATCAACCCTCCCTCGTGTCCCTCAAGTGTCACTAAATCCCAACACTCCTCCATTTCCAGTATCTTCTTAAGTCCTGATGTTTCTCCACTTCTAGTATCTTCTGAGGACRCCCTTGGCCAGTAAGGTCCCTGTCCTTCCAGCCATGTCATTCCCTTCTTCTGGCCTGTCTTTAAAGGACTCTGATAGTTTTGCCCCAAGAGAAGATTTCTAAGTATTCCTGRTTCCATCTGTTAAATTAATCCTGATTTCTGGCCACCTGGGACACAGAGGCAACCAGTGCAATAAGGAAGTAGGAAGTTCAGACTTTGCTTGATAGTCAATTAATTGCCTGCAGCTTTTAAAATAGAGAAGGGATTGAGTGTGCAGCGGGTTACAGACCCTTCATCCCTAGAATGATCTGTCTGGATAGGAGAGACCAACCAGGAGATGAAGGTCTCCAGTGTCTGCAATGCCAGGAACACGAATGCAAAGATGTAAGAGGGACCAACACCATCTGCACACCCAACCCTATGGAGAAGAGGCCAAGAAGGGGCCAAAGGACGGAGGAAGAGATGAAATTTGGTGTGGTTCACCAGGACAAGAGCTTCTCCAGGTCTATGGGAGGACCAAAAGCTCTCGGCACACCTGAGAAGCCCGTCTCACCTGCAAGTGGTGTGAATTATTCACCGTGGTATGTGATACGCAGGAGCAGGTGAGAAAATCCTCCGCTGCACTGGAATAAAGACAACCTCCGACCCATGTAAAATAGCCCCAGGAACAGGGGGATGTTGGGCTGCAATTTCATTAATGGAAGTAGTAGAAGACATGGCAAGGAGGGACTGGGCAGCCCTGGGGCTCGGCAAAGCCAGGGCATCTGTCCCTTGGGGATGGTGACCTYCTGGTCCCTCCATGTGCCACAGGCAGCCCTATAGTGCAGAGGTGTCCACCTCCTGCAGGGATGGAGACCAGCTCCTGGCTTCTAGATCCCCCAAATCTAGACCCCATCCCACAAATCCCCTGGGATGGGGATACGATGCCAGAAGAGAGTCCTTCAACATGATTAAGGATTGGTGGTAACCTCAGGGGCAGGAGCAGCTTCTGAGTGTTTTGTTCCCACCAAAACGGTGTCTGCTACACCAGGGGTCAGGTCTGTTCCTCTCCAGCCCCTTGTCCCTTCTGTACCCTGGTGAGTTCCCCCCATACCCTGTGTCCCCCCATGCAGGACGTGGGGTGCAGGATGCAGGGAAATGAAGAGGTGCAGGGTCCTGGGGGGGAAGGGGGAGCACTTGGAGTCCTTGGGAAGGACCGTGCAGGAACCCTGGGACAAGGTGTGGGATCCAGACAGGCTCCTGGGACTGAGGGCAGGATCCGTGCAGGCTCCCAGGGCAGGATGCAGGATCCCGAGGTGAGAAGCGGGATCAGTGTGGGATCCTGATGCTGGATGCAGGGTCCATGCAGGCTCTCAGGGCTGGATGCAGGATCCTGGGGCAGGATGTGGGATCCCGAGGTGGAAGCGGGATCACTGTGGGGTCCAAAGGCTGGGTGCAGGGTCCATGCAGGCTCCCAGGGCTGGATGCGGGATCCCGAGGTGGGAAGAGGGATCAATGTGGGGTCCCAGGGCTGGATACGGCATCCATGCAGGCTCCCGAGGCAGGATGCAGGATCCTGGGGCAGGGTACATGAACCTGAGGTGGGAAGCGGGATCAACGTGGGGTCCTGATGATGGGTGCGGAGTCCATGCAGGCTCCCAAGGCAGGAAGCGGGATCCTGGGGCAGAATGTGAGATCCCGAGGTGGGAAGAGGGATCAGTGTGGGGTGCCAGGGCTGGATACGGGGTCCATGCAGGCTCCCGAGGCAGGATGTGCTATCCTGGGACAGGGTACATGATCCTGAGGTGGGAAGCAGGATCAATGTGGTGTCCAGACGCTGGGTGCAGGCTGTCGAGGCAGGATGAGGGATCCCGGGGGGAAGGTGCGGGATCAGTGTGGGGTGCTGGGGCAGGACGCAGAGTCGGTGGTCCCGGTACAGGGTGAGGGTCCCTGGGGGCCGGTCCGGTCCCTACCCGGTGCCGCGGCTGCCCATGGCTCCGTCCCGGTCCCGGTCCGGCCCCGTCCCGCTCGGCTCCGCCCGGCCCGGCCCCGCTGGCAACGAGCAGCGTCACCGGGCAACGGGGGGAGCTCCGACACCGGGACCCCCCCGCCGCGGCTCCCCACAGCCCTGGTACCCAGCGCTGCTTCCCTCAGCATCCCCCATATCCCTGGTACCCACCGTGCCACCCCCCGCCCCGCCACGGCTCCGCACATCCCTGGTACTCACTGTGCCCCCCTATCTCCCCCCCGCCGCGGCTCTCCACATCCCTGGTACCCAGAGCTGCTTCCCTCAGCATCCCCCATATCCCTGGTACCCACTGTGCCACCCCTGCCCACCGCCGCGGCTCTCCACATCCCTGGTACCCAGCGCTGCTTCCCTCAGCATCCCCCATATCCCTGGTACTCACTGTGTCTTCCTCCACATCCCTGGTACCCGCCGCAGCTTCCCCCACATTCCTGGTGCCCACCGTGCCCCACCGCAGTTCCCCACATCCCTGATACCCACCGTGCCCCCCCCTCCCGCGGCTCCCCACATCACTGGTACCCAGCACGACTTCCCGCAGCATCCCCACATCCTTGGTACCCGCCGTGCTCCCTCATCCTGCCCCACCATGGCTCCCCACATCCCTGGTACCCAGCACAGCTTCCTGCAGCATCCCCACATTCCTGGTACTCACCATGCCCCCCCTGCTCCCCGCTGTGTTTCCCCACATCCCTGGTACCCAGGGTGGCTTCCCCCAGCATCCCCACATCCCTGGTACCCACTGTGCCCTCCCCGTGGCTCCCCACATCCCTGGTACCCACCATGGCCCCCCGCTCCAGCTCCTCCATACCCTGGTACCTCTTAGTTCCCACCCAAAGCCCTGTACCCTCCTGGCACTGCCCTCAGCACCCTCTGATACCCCCTTACCCCTGTTCTCCCCTCGCACACCCACCACAGCGCCCTGCAACCCCCCAATATCCCTGTCCCACCGTGGCACTGCCAACACCCCAATATCCATGTGTCATCCCATGCCTCATCATCYGCTGTAGCATCCCCAGCACCCCACGTCCCTGAGCCCCTCCTGGCACCACAGCACCCACCACAGCACCTTGTTATCTCTGCCCCACCATGGCCATGCTGGTACCCACCTTGGTATCCCCATCACCCACCTACATCCCCACAGCACCCRTGAAAGACTGTTAGATATTTAAATTATGCAGAATTCAGGAAAAATGGGGAAATGTCCAAGTCTGGGTTTGCAAAAGGATCATACACCCAGAGCTGCTGCCCTGGACCAGCTCTTGAGGAGCAATGACTTTGGCTTTTATGGGAGAAGAAAAAGCCACGCGGCTCCCTGCTACCTGCCAGCAGCAGCCTGCAAGGTTTCATACTGGTCTGAAGGCTTCTAAGTGGTCTCGGGGGGAGAAAATGGCAAAGGGAGAAGGTAAATGCAACATAATGCAAAAGGCCAAGTGGGTTTGGGAAGAAGTCAGTGGTGCTACGGCAGCTAGATGGCTTTCTTTGGAAACACCTGATGCTCTTGTTGGGAAAGGGGAGCACATCTCCTCCAGCTGGGGCTAATGCAGCTAGATGGGGTGGGTGTTAACTACTGGCCCAGCTAGAGGAGGTGTAAATGGGTGTTGGAGGTGGGATTTGGGTGAGAGAGCTGGGAGAACATTTAAGAGGGAAGCTCTTCAGTAGCCAACTTGGAGTCAGTTGTGCTTCCTCATGTGTTTCCTTCATGTTTCCTTAGTGAAGCTCTTGAAGGAGAGTGGATAAACCCACTGAGGACAAGCTCCATGGGGAAGGAGACTGCAATRTTGCATGGGAATAACTCACTTGGTGCAAGGTATCTTCTTGTGTGGTTGGTTCCCCTTGGGCTCCTGGTAGCCCTGTGGGCAAGTGGAGGAGCAGAGCTGGGCTGGGAGCAGCTGCCAGAGGAGACCAAGGGGTTTCTGCCCATGAGTGCAGTCTGTGGAGGCAACTGGGAGTCCAGGGTGCCACCCCACTCATCCTGCCTGGGAAAGATGCATCCGATAGGGAAGAGCGGAGGAAGGACCCCAGGGAAGGGAGGATCTGGTCCTTCAGGAGGACAAGGCAAGAACCTAGCGAAGGGGCCTGGAAAGCTGAGAAATGAGCTCAAATTCAGCCCCTCCAGAGCTCAGGGGAGCTCTCGTCACCTGCTCCCGTGCATCCCCCCTTTCGCAGCAAGCCCTTTAATTTGCCAGCAGTTCCMTTTGAGCACAGACAGGCTCCATAGGGTATTTTTTTCCTCCGGGAATTGGTACGCACATGGAGTGCCGCCCACTGCAGCACTCAAAGCGATAGCTAAACCCAAGCAACTTCACGCCGCAGGGCCTCCTTCCTGCTGCTTTCCTTCCCCAAAACCCTTCGGAACGGAACAGTTTGGCTGCGGGGAGGGAGGGGACGGCAGATGGAGAGCAACTTGGAGCCGTGCATGGGAGGAGAGGCCTCCAGCTGGGATCTGCAAGCAGGAGTGGCTGTGAGATGAACAGGGACCGAGGAACAGGGGCTGTTCCCAGACTGGTATTTTTGTTTGCAAACTGCAAATCCTTCAGCTTTTACTTGCAAACTGCGTGGAAAATGGATCAATGCCCGTTTCTAAGTCTTGGAGGAAGCTCCGGGGCTTGCTGCGCYGGAGGTTGCCCGAGGAACATCTGCGTTGCAGAAGACAGGGTCTTTCCCGGTCCTTTTCCTGGTG